TTTTTCTCTGGTCATTTTCAGAATGTAAAGTATGGCGAGAAGCAAATACAGACAATGTCGGAAAAGGGTAAAACGGATGGTTTGAAACTGTTTGTGTATACAGGCGTACATGGAATTTTAACAAAATACGGGAAAAAGCTTTATCTTGATATGGACGAGAAGAGAGTTGAAGTACCGCTTGTATATTGGAAATTAGTTGTCGACCCAGCAACCAGAAGGCATGTGGTCTTTTTGATTTTCATGAACAATAAACCGACAAAGGCAGAAATAGCTGACTTTAAAGCGACTTATAGATGTAATTGCAAGTGCAAAACATTGAAATACAAGTTTGCGGATCGAATCGCAGCGGGTTTTACACGCTGTTGCTCAATCGCGGAATTGAAAAAAATTGCTGGTTACATAGATGATTTAGCAATTGGTGTCGATCCGGATAAAATGTTGCCGAATTATGTAGACTCCGATGATGGAAATAAAAAAAATGGAGGTGACGAAAGTGGAAGAAAACCATCACCGGGAAAGCGATCAGGGACTGAACCAACGGCCAAACAAAAAGATAGATCATCGTCCCAACCCGATAGTCTAGATCATTAAACGTCAAACCAACAACGCCACACATTTTGACGGGAACTACATTGATGAGTGTATTCAATGCAGTGTCAAACATAGTCGTCATTGTGTTGTGTGGTGAAATAATAATTATTTTTTGAATTTTAAATAAATAAAAATGTTTCGATTCTGCCAAATGAAATTGTGCAAATATTCCGCTGGCACACAAGACAAAAAAATTGCTTTCTTTCGGTAGATTAACCCTCTACTGCGCCATTTTTTTTACAGAGCTGGGAATTTTATTCTTGGCTAATTTTGAGCCAAAAATGACAAAAAAATAATGAAAAGCTCGATACAGTTTTGCTTTAGCCGGAAAACTCGGAAAATTACACCCCGCCAAAAGGCGGTCTTGCGTGAATTTACGCCTTCCTTCAGCCCACCAAAAGGCGGTCTTGTGCGCTAACTACAGTTCTCACTAAAGGGGATATTTTTGTATATTTCCTGTTTTCAATGTAATTTCAACTTCTAGACAACATGACAATAAAACTTCACGTTGAACTACAATAAAACTTTGCCAGATCATAGCTCTGAGTATCCTATCTCCGCTGGTATATGACATATAGGCCAACATTTCTTGTGAGGGATACTTCTAGTGTATATATTTGAATTAAGAATGAAAAGAAATGGGAAGAATTGACAGATCAGAACCTATTCTCTAGCAATCCTATGCTTAATTGTATTGAAAATCTCCCTGATTATAGTCCTAGTTATCCTCCTTTCAGCGGCAATATAGCATGTGGGCCAATTCATCTTGTGAAAGATACCTCTAGTCTACCTATTTGAAGTCAGAATGAGGAAAACTGAGAAAGACTCAATTTTCTAGACCTATTTCTGGGCAACCCTACACTGGAATTTAATGAAAATATCCCAGACGATAGTCTCGGATGTACCCTTTCCAACGGTATGTTAGAAGTGGTACTTTTGATCTACATATTTCAATTTGAAATGAAGAAATATTATGAAAATCGCCAAAAGACGGTCTTGCGAAGTGTAAATTTCTTCTTTCCTGTACTCGCAAGACCGCTTTTTGGCGGGCCCGCTATATTGCGGCCCCAAATTGTAACCAAATATAAAAATGATGCAATAATGATCAAAATCAAATGAATACCTCCTAATTTACCTGCAAAAAAATCAACGACTACTGAAAATAGTTTTAAAAGTATTTAGAGCTTACCCGAAAAAAATGTGAATTCAGAAAATATTTTTTTCTCATAATTGCACAAAATTTCACTTTTGAGGGCCCATAACTCGGCCCCGGCTTGACATATATTATAAAATTTATATGTCAATTTGAACCTAAAGGCCTATCCAATGCAACGCTACCATATTTTCGACCATCTATAACATGATACGCAAATTATGGGCTATTTTGTGCACCCCGCCTTTTGGCGGTCTTACGAACTAGAGGGTTAAACCCGTATTTAAAAAAAATTGTTTTTCTTCCATTTTCAATTGAGTTGTATGAGAGAAAATTACGGTTTTATATGATATATTGGAGTTTCCATAATTAAAAAAAAAAAAAACAAAATGTTAGATTCAAAATAGAAACTGGTTCGTGGCAGAATTGTTTTTTTAATTTTGCGGACCATACTGAGAAAACGCTTGCGTATGGAAAAAAACTAATTGTTTCATTTCAATTCATTTGATAAAAATGTCCCTTGGATTGTAAATGAATAAATTATCGTAAAAAAAATTCATTTTTTCCATTGTTTTGATCGAATACAGTGTTGCGTCAATACTGTCGATATTATTGTTGATAATGAGTTTCGTTTGCTTGGGTGCAATGTAATTACACACGAACAAAACTTACATTCATGATTGCTTTAAAATGAAAATTTTTATTTCGGCAAAATGAGACTATTACGTGTCCTTGTGTAAATTCATTTGTTTACAACGTATACCACTAGTTTCGCTACTATTTTGCATTTTAATTTCGTCCAAATTACATTCATATGGGTTATAATTAAGACAAAATGAAATAAAGATGCAAATTGTGTGTAAACGTTATTAGAAATTGCTCGCGATATGAATGGTATATAGGGCCATGTTACTAGGATCAAAACATTATTCAGTGATCATTTATTCCAAAGTTCGGTTCGCATTTGAGTTTTATTCGATCGCAATGGCAGGACTTGAGAGAATTTTTCCAAAATTGGTATCATTTTATTTTTTGTGTTTGGTGATTGCTATAGTTCTGAGCAGACGTGTGCAAGGAGGAGGGGGGAGTTCCAGTTCTACCCCCCCTCCAGGAACACGTCCAATTTTAGGGAGCCCAGAAAAAGCTAAGAATCCTGTATTCGATCTTCACCATCGCAATCCAGCGAAGTCCATGCTGTTCGACATAAAATTCCCAAACACTCCCGAACGAAAGGGTGTCGACGCACAAAACTATGCAAACAAACTGATGAAAGAAGTACCGAAATTCGCTCAAAAAGAAGATCCCAATTTGAAAATGACCGGTGAAAGTTGTGCTCATGGCCTTGGCAGCTTATACGTTGTGTGAGTCAAAATTGAAGATTTCATTTGTTTCATCGTATTAATACAAAAAATTCAATAGGAAATCTGATGAGGGAACCATTTTGTATTCAGTTTGTTTTAACGATGCAACGGCCAGTGCCATTTACAGCACGCACACGATCAGTCTTTCGGGACAACAAGGTATATATTTATTTGAACCAAAAAAAAATGGATATGCAAATTTTGAAAAGAATATTTATATCACATTTGCAGAACCGGAACACTCCAGTCATATTAGTTTCAAAGAAAAATACACATTGGCTGGATGGAAACCGACAAAAGTGACCGAATTGTATAGTGCAGAAAATCAAACGGAAGCTTTCAATGCGGTATTCATACCATTTACAAATGCCGATTATAAAATGGGAATTTACTTATCACGCAACCACTTGACGCCTCATGCTGATTTCATGCAAGTCAAAGATCAGAAATTGACTTACTTCTTCCAAAATTGCTTTCCAGGTGAGGAAAATATAGAATAATGATTTTTTTGTCCATTTTCTGTGCAATTTTCACTTTTATAATTTCTCTATTTTATCAATTTCACCAGGAATGCAATCGATGAATGGCCAGGTGAGAATATATTTTCGACCTTTTTTCTTTCAAATTACGAAAAATATGGTTTTTTTTGCGAAAAAAAAAATTAATTTCTGTTGAATCGAATATTTCAGAACTGGGCAAAAGTAGAAGCATATGGGCGTTCATTATCGATCGAAATGAAAGAAACAATGCACATTCATACCGGCGTTTATGGAATTTTAAAGAAGAAAACTAAGAAGGGCGAAATGAAAAATGTCTATTTGGACCTTGTCAATCAGAAAATTGAAGTTCCTTTGGTAGTTTGGAAATTAGTTACCCATGCCAAAACGCAAGCCACCATAGCATTCTTCACATCCAACGACACAGACATGGATGAAAAGGAGATAAAACGCTTTTCAACGTTGTGTAACAGTGTCTGCGATGAGTTCGGCTACAAATTCAATAATGAAAACGTATCAGCTGGATACACACTCTGCTGTTCGTATGAAGACTTCGCCAAACATATTAAATTCTAGCCATTTAAATATGCTGATCATATGCAATCCGAGCATAGAAATGTAGATCAAAATAAAACGAATTACATACGTAATCCAAACTTTTCCGCTCCGCAGCAATTAAGTTTACCTCCCGCTTAATGTTTAACCAAAATTTCAATGGACCCTATTTTCATAGCATTTTTGACCTTAAAATATAACTATTTCGATCATTTTCCATGCAAAAGTGTCATTTTCGAACGAAATGTCAAAAAAATGTCGATTTCGGATCAAATTTATGGGCAATTAAGTGCTTGATTGTTGGACAAATCCCATTATTTTTGCAAAAAAATATCAGTTTGCCTTGATCAAAACCCTAAAAAATGGCTTTCTGTGTGATTTTTCATACAAAAGTCTATTTTTCGAGGAGAATTTCAAGAAATGTCGATTTTGGACCAAATTTATGGGCAAGTGGGTGTTCGGTTGTTCACAGACTCCCTTTTTTTTTTGCAAAAAATGGCAGTTTGCCTTGATCGAAACCCTGAAAAATGGTTTTTTGGGCGATTTTTCATACAAAAGTGTCATTTTTCAAGGTTTTTCAGGTCCTCATTCGGAGGCTTATGGTACGAAATTGGTAAATCAGAATGGGCTCAAAATCAATCGACATGCCAAAACTTTTGGCTCTTACAGATCTCAATTATCTTGTCAACTTTTTGAGATAATCGGCGAACAAAAAACGCGAACGCGGACGCGGACGCAGACGCGGACGACGCCATACGAACATCTCAATTTTGCACATTTTTCATAGTAAACAACATGTTTTTGGAGGCAGATAGGTCTTGATCGATAGGATTTCATCCCATCTACATTGTCTAGTGTACAGATATGTGCTTTTTGAAGTTTGGCGTGACGTTATAGTGGTCCGAAAAAGGAGATGTCATGAAATTTGGCTAGTAAAACCAATACTTTTCCATACGAACAAAGTTTGCGGAAAAGTAATTAAAAAAAAAACAAAAACAAGTTTTTCAGTTTTGATATGCCTATTTATTTACATTCTTCTATTGAAGGATCGCTGTATTGGACACTTTCACATTTAAATGGAATAATAAGCAAAAAATGTTGATGGGGAAGGTGGGGAAATTCGGAACACACATCGAAATAACTTAATGACATTCTAAAAAATTAACATTTTTCCAAATTCTAAAGTGGTACGACTCAGTAAATGTAAAAACCCAACTTTTGGACCTTGCCGCTTGTTGAAATTCGGATCGGTTGAAAAAATTTACCCTGTTGGCACTGCCAACTTGGCAGAAAACCCTTGATGTTGCGATTTTCAAAAATGGTGGGGAAATTCGGAACACTTTATAAATGGATAGAAAACTGAAACAATTTCGATGCAAAACGTTCACGGAAAACTAGGAAATGACAGAAGAATTAATTTTAATGAGGAAAAAGTTCAAAAATAGTGATTGTTATTAGTCGGATTTGTAATTGTTGCCTGTGAAATAGCTACCAATCATTTTGGTGCATTTCAAGTGGACAGCTCGATCGCATAAATTGCAATGAGTAATTTGTCAAAATTTTGCATGAAATACAATAAATATGCATAAAAAAGCGATATCAACTTGAAAAGAATTAAAAATCACTTGATCATTTTTTCGTATATAGGGCGTTCCGAAATTCCCCACTCACTAAGGTTTACAACATAATCGTGTTTCAGTCACTCAATGAATTTTTATGTAAAATTCCTTTTGTGAGTCGAAATATGACGGAGGACGGTAGTCCAACAAGTGACGCTCCAACAACTATGCATTTCAAGCCAAATATTAAAAATGCCAGTTTTTGCGTCACGAGTATATATATACAGTAAGTATGCTATTTTCTCAGGGCACTATTTGGGCCCCGGCATTTTAGGTACCGTTGGAAAGGTCTTGGCCCAAATAGTCGGAAATACTATATCCCCCATGCCTAAATTGTGGTCTAGGCAAAAATATAGCGGTTGGAAAATTTCGATAAATTTTCAAATCTATACCCATATCTTACGAAGGGGGTACCCAGGGGGTAGTCTGAGGTGTCCAAGAAAAGCTCCTCCTCGTCACCTTTTCAACGCCGGTCCAAATGCTCCAATTGGTCCAAAAACGAAAAAGTTATGGGCATTGGCAGTTTGATCTTGATTTTTTATGAAAGTGTTGATTTGTGCGTCCGTCTGTCCGGAAACTTTTATGTGATATAAAAGAAAAAAGTCGATTTTTATGAAAAATCGACTCCCTTAAATTTCAACTTGCCCTTTCCCCTGAATTTTTCAACTTGCTCTATTTTCACTGGAAATGATGTTTTTGTTCGGAAAACACGTGAAATAGACCTCTGACGACATTTTGGTCTTCGAAAATTGCTATTTTTTCGTGAAAATAATGGGAGTCCACGCACACATTTTGGTCATAAATCGGTATTTTTACATCTGAAACATCATGTATGAAATTGAACTTTTTTTCGGAGGATACATAAAAAATGCACTTTCCAGAGCTTTGGTGGTTGAAAATTAATATGTTTCAATGAAGTAATGGGTCTAAAATTACTTCAAAACTCTTTTAATGGATATTTTGAAATTTAATCATATTTTACAATGTCCAATAAGGGGAAAATGGAACTTTTTTAATGAAAGTGAAAATTTGCTATTTACAAAACTTGCGAAATGTGGATGCAAATGTTTTACCCGAAAAATTACAACTTCCAAATGATAAGATCTTAAAATAGACATATTTCTGGCAAAATTTTAAAATTTCGGCTATTTTTTCCGAGAATAATTGCCTTACAAAATTGGTGACATCAGATGAAAAACCTCTAGACGAGGTTAAAATGAAGTGACGCTCCTGTGCGTGGATTTAGCACTCAAAATGACTGATATCATTTTGAGTGACGCTAGGAATCTGGTTTATCTCTGGATACAAAGTTCTGTAATAGCCTAGCCTTAGTATAAGTGTAGAGTTGCCTTAATAGTCCTTTCAGTATTCCATATTAGCTGTGTGTCGTTCACAGTGTAGAACGACACACGAACTGACATAACGAGACATTGTTTAGTCGTGCGGCATTCAGTCGCTAGCAGCAGAACCGAACACACTTAATAAAGGTCTCATTGAACAATAAATACCGCTGTACACTTATTACAGCTTTCTGCGAACCGGATAGAAGAAAAAATAACTAATTCAGAAATTAAGTAAATATTCCGATATATTTCAACGAATTAATTCCGAAAAAGAAAAGAAATATCGCAAATTGCATTGAATTCATTGTGTGGTGTTCAACAAGTGGTACTCGGATTTTTTTCTCCGCCATATTGAATTCGCCACAGCATAAATAACTTCTTCATAGCATTCTGAATCGCATAATTCAGTATTTCAACACATTCAGTATATTTATCGTCATTCAGAAGTGCACATTTTTTTCGGAAAAAAAGGAAAACACGTTAAATAAAGCAGAAAATGCCGCCGAACTGGGCAAGCACGGTATTGAATTTGGAAGAAGCGCAACAGTGGCTGATTTGCGGGCACTGTATGCCGAACACATTGGCAACAAATCAAACGTTCAGAGCGAACATCCCGAAAAAACAGACGACGCATTGAATTCAGATGACGGCAAACAAGAGCCTACTGCGACTGAAACGAGCGCAAGTGAAATGAAAAATAAAGAAGAAGAAGAAGCGGAACAGCGACGATTGGACGAAGCATTGATGCGCATTCCGAAAACAGAAACCGCTATTCAGTTGCATCAAATTCAGATGGAAGAAGAATTATTGAATGCGCAGTTACGTTTGATGGAAAAGAAGAAACGATTGCTTGAATTGGAATCGAGCGTGCTCACACCGATTGCTCAGCATTTTTTGAAACCAAACTACAAAGATGTGAAGCATTTGGTACCGTTGTTCAGTGGCTCCGATGATTACGATGCGCACAAATGGCTTGATGATTTTGAACGGGCGTGCGACACAGTGAATGCTTATGACGTCACAAAATTGAAATTCTTCCGCCAATCGATGAAAAGTGACTCAGAGGCCGAATTGTTCTTGCGTACCGATAGTTCAGCCACATATTCCGAAATTCGTGCGAATTTTTTGGCAAATTTTGGCCACGTTTATTCCGTCAGTGAAGTTATCGACCGATTGAGGAAAACGACATTCCGCTCATCGAAAACAACGATCATGGGCTACATTCTGAAAATGCAAGAGATTGCATCTCGTGCACGAAATGACGAACAACAAACCGTTCAGTTCATCATCGAGGGTTTTCAGGATAGTTCAGCACACATTGCTATTCTGTACCCAGCCCAAACTATCGCCCAATTGAAAGAATTATCGCACCGTTATTCACAACTGCGTGAATCGAGCCAAGCCAGTTCAGCTATTCCGACCAGCGGATTCCGACCGAAACCAAAGACAAGTTCTTCAGGCATCGCTTCAGCAAGATCCGCGACACCAAAAGACAAGATTCAGTGCTATAATTGCTCCGGATATGGACACATTTCGGATAACACACAGCCATAAAACGACCAAAAGGTTCCTGCTTCCGATGCGGTTCAGTACAACACCAATTGCATGATTGTCCCAAGCCGAAACCACCACCCAATGTGAATCGAATTGCTTTGATTGACGGTTCAGAACCGGGAAACGAAGATGATGTTGACGAATTGAGTCGAGCTCCCGGGGAAGTGAATGCGGTAAGTGTTACTTTTCTAACTGAGTGTTCTGTGCAAGTGTGTAAGGATTT